ATAGGAAATCAAGCAGGGGGAGCAGGGAGGAGGGGAGAGGTAAAAACTCACCTAACAGGTACAATGAACATTATTCAGGTGATAAGCACATTTACAGCCCTTACTCAAGCCACATATCAAAAACATTTGTATCCCCTTAACATTTTGAAATATTATAAAAAAAGAAAGAAAAAGTGCTCTAGGAAGTCAAAGCAACATTTGGAATGAATGGCATGAGAGGCAGAATCCTACAATGCCCCCTAAGCTTTCCTGCTCTAATCCCTGAGACTATAAATATATCACACCCTGATTATGTTGTTACCTGTAAAAGAGATTCTGTTGATGTAATTAATGTTACTACTCAGTGGTCTTAGAGTTAATCAAAAGGAGTTAATCCACGTATACCTAATGTAAATGGCACAAGCCCATAAAAAGCAGACAGTTCCACCTGGCTGGCAGCAGAAGAACAAGTCCAGGAGATTCCGAATGTATGGGATTCAGTGAGCCACTATGGCTAGAAGATGGGGGAGTATGTGAGAAGGAACACAGTTAGCCCTGGAAGATGACCAACCCCCAGCCGATGGCCAGCAAGGAAGCAGGGATCTCAGTCCTATAAACACAGGAAACTGCACCCTATCAGTAACCTGAAAATGCTTGGAAGCAGATTCTTTCCCAGAGTCCCAAGAAAAGACCCCAGGCTGGAAAACACCTTAATTTCAGACTTGTAAACCCTAAGCAGAGAACCCAGCATACTCAGATTTCTGACCTACCAAATTATGAAATAATAAATGGGTGTTGTTTTAGCCACTGAGTTTGTTACACAACAACAGAAAATGAATACAGATTTTAGTACCTGGAAGTGGCGTGCTGCCATGACAAATACTTATGTAAGTTTATTTTGAGATCATTAATATAACTCTGAAGTGTCACATGATAGTATTTGGGACTCACTAATTAAGGTGAGAACATTCCTTTTCGAAATTTATTTTTCTAAAATACTATTTAAGAGACAATGTACCCCTTAAATTCTTGAGGCAATTTGTCTCTTCTACTTTTTAGAACTATTGTCAAATTAACTGTGTTTACGAAGAGAGGCCCAATCAGCATATTCTAACTAATACATAAACAGAAGTTAACTTTTTAATACTATCCACCATACACTTTGAGTTTGGTACACTGTCCTGGCTTCAAGTCTCCCAGGAGCTGCAATATGGTGTCCAAGAGCACCCGACTGGAGTTAACCAAGAATTCACGACCACATGCGATGGCAGCAACATCTGCAACAAAAAGATAAAACAAAGCATCAAGATCACTGTTACTTCATGTGGTATTATGATTATATTGGTTTTCATCCACAGTTCCTGGCTTATAACTCCCATAGTCCTTGTTATAATATTGGGGTGCTTTAGGCCTCAGGAAACAGAATCTCTCTCTCTCTACACTTCTCCTTTCCTCCTTCAACCTGCCCAAGGCAGGACTCTAATCTGATTGTGGGTCAAAAGACCCTCATTCCAGAGAGGGTCCTGCCCCATACCCTGGAGGAAGGATGCTGCAGAGAGGCCGGGAAAAATCTGAATGGACAGGCCTTCCTGAGTTTAGATCATGCACTTTTCTCCAATCACATCTCTATGTAGTTGTCAATCTCATCTATGTAACAAAGCCTCCATAAAAACCCAAAAGACAGGGTGCAGCAAACTTCCAGACAGCTGAACACATGGAGGTTCATGGAGGGTGGTGCACCCAAGGAGGGCGTGAAAGTTCGAAGCCCTTCCCCAACACCTCACCCTACGCATCTCTTCATCTATATCCTTTTTGTTAATAATATCCTTTATAATAAACCCAAAACATAAGTAAGTGTTCCCCTGAGTTCTGTGAGATGCTCTAACAAATTAATCAAACCCAAACAGAAGGTCGTGGGAACCCCAACTTGAAGCTGGTCGGTCAGAAGTTCCAGAGGCCTGAACTTGACAACTGGTGTCTGAAGGAGGGCGAAGTTTTGGGGACTGAACCCTCACCCCATGGGATCTGACACTATCTCCAGGTAGGTAGTGTCCAAATTGAATTAGAGGATACCCAGTTGGTGTCCACTGTTGGTATGTGGGGAAAACTTCAGTATTTGGTCACGGAATTATTGTTCTGTGTTGATGATTGTTGTGGCGTGAGAACAGAAGTAAAAACATGGTTTGAGCAGTTTTTTCAAAACACTTCAGAATCCAGAATATTTTGTCCAGGACAGAGTATTTGTTGCTGTTTTTCTAACAGACCTAATGAAAACATATATAGCTGGTGATGAGACATTAAACATTGGTGTTATCCACAGAGCTACGAGCCCAGAAAGAGTAATTGACAACCACGGGAACTGCTGAAATAGTGAGTAACGTCCAGCGTGATGAGCAAACACCTCTGCAGTGGAAGAGAGAAGCGGAATCTAAACGCATCTGCTCCAGAGCAGCACATTAAACAATTGTGGGCAGTCATGGTCCAAACGTAAGGGGGGAGCTCATCACCTTACCTGGGACTGAGGATTCTAAATTCACCTTCAATCCTGTGAATACAGGTTGAGCATCCCTAATCCAAAAACCCAAAATCTGAAATGCTCCAAAATCCAAAACTTTCCGAGCACCAACATGACATGCAAGCAAAGGAAATGCCCATTGGAGTATTTTAGGTTTCAGATTTGAACCAATTTGTATTCCAAAATCCAAGTATTCCAAATGCAAGTATTCCAAAATCCAAAAAATTCCAAAATCCAGAACACTTCTGATCCCAAGCATTTCAGATAAGGAATATTCGATCCCTTATATTTGTTAATGACTTTTAACCATGATACAAAACTGAAATTATATGAGGTCAAAAGAGAGAATATGAAAACTGATTGTGAAAAAAAACTTTTTTCTAAATTTTATGTCCTATTGTGGATCAGCAAGTATGTTTCTTCACGCCTGAGACCCTGTAAATCAGCATGGAAACAAGACCAAGTAATTCCACTGGCTTCTAATGGACAGTGCTTCAGTTACTACCGGCTCTGTCAACATTCCCAAATACCTGTAAGGATATAACGATGATCCAAGTACACCTGTGCACATGTGTATAAGATTTTTCTTTAGTTAGGCTTAACAATAGAGCATGACTCAAAGTGACTAAGTGACTAAGATTTCTAAGTCAAATGAGCAGATAAAGTGGGCCTTTTTCCTGACTTTAATGGAAATGCTTCTAATAATTCACCATTAAATGTTATGTCTGATCTGTTTCTGGTAAATATTCCTTACCAGTGTAAGGAAGGTTTCTTCTCAGTTTGCTAAGAATTATCAAAAATGGAGGACGAGTTTTGTCACGCACTTGTTCTGCCTTGATTGGTTATGACATGGCTATAGAATACAAAATTTCGTCTGTGCTGCCAGATCAACTTTATGGAATCAGATCCTTGACATTCCTATTTATTTTTGTTTACCTGGGCTAAGATGGACCAAGAAAAGTAAATTAAAGTCTTCTAAACTTAACAGATTTTTTCCCATTTCTACTTGTCTTTCTAGGATTTTGGCCTCACAACTGGTAATGTGTTATTTGGTATATAATTTCACGACAGCCATAATTTTATTGAGGACAGGATCCCTCTTTGACACAAACGTACCTTCTCTGTTCAATAAGTTTTAACCTGATAACTGTATTTTCCAGCATATGATACCTTCTAGTTTCTGGAGTTTGGATGTTTGTCACCCCAAACCTTATGTTGAAACTTCATCCCCAATGTTGGCGGTGGGCCCTAACGGGAGGTGTTTGGGTCATGGGTCGTGAATAGGTTAATGCCCTCCCTGGGAGGTTGGGGGTGGGCAGTGAGTGAGTTCTTGCTCTATTAGTTCCCACAAGAGCTTGGTTAAAAAGAGCCTGGCACCTCCCTGTCTCCCTCTTGCCTCCTCTCTCGCCGTGTGATCTCTGCACACAACGGCTCCCTTTTGCCTTCTGCCATGAGTGGAAGCAGACTGAGGCCCCAATCTTCCAGCCTGCAGAATTGTGAAATAAACCTTTTTTCTTTATAAATTACCCAGCCTCGGGTACTACATTATAGCAACACAAACAGACAAAGACATTAGTTTTACTAACGAAATATTTCAGGGGAAAATAAAGCAATTAAGCATCTGGCATGATAAACACGCAGAAGGTAAATTTTAGTTAGCTTTGCAGGGGAAAGCTGTATTCATGTAAATATAGTAGATCATACACTGAAACCTAGCAAAGAAACTTGAGTTCTAGCTATGGACTTTGGCAACCTATCTCCAGAAATGACTACCTAGGGAACCACGCCTCCCTATGTTCAGACACGTGGGGAGACCCCTGGCACTTGTGACTCACTTGTAACTAATAGAATGCAGTAGAATTGAGGTCACGTGCCTTCCAAGACTAAGTAGGAAGGAGCCTTATGGCTTCCACCTTGGACTCTTGCTACTTGCTCTAGAGTCCCTGAGTCCCTATGAGAGAAGTCCAGGACCCTGCAGCTGCCATGATGAAGAGACCATATAGAAAGACCACAGTGGAGAAACCCTAAGACTACATGAGGAGAGAAGAGAGAATGACACGCCACTATTACCCAACTGTTCCATTCCTAAGCAATTTGAGGCATTCCAGCTGAGGCCCCAGATATTGCCAAGCAGCAGCAAACTGTAGACCCATGAGCAAAATAAATGTTGTTGTTTTAAGATTTTATAACTCGGACTTAGGGGGGGAGGGGGGGAGCAAGGGCAACATAGGTAACCTAAACATCTGTACCCCCATAATATGCTGAAATAAAAAAAAAAAAA